TGAAATTGTCGATAAAGATGGTGAAATTGTCGGGAACATTTTTCATTGCAAATTAAACGCCTATTTCTATACACATATTTAATGGCATTGTACAATAGGATAATGAAAGTATGTACATAATTATAGATAAAAAAATCACATATGCACTGCAAATGAACTACAAAAAAATAAGTTAAAGAAATCAGCCGTGTAGAATATAAAGTATTTAAAACTTAAAAAAAATTGTAATAAAAGATAATAATAACAAATAATTTAAAAGAAAATAAAAATCAATGGTTATTTTAGTAAATTTTTTTTACACATTTCCACATCACGATCATTTTACAGCCCAATCACAATCTTAAAACAATGCGTAAAAATCTCTAAAATAGTAGGTTTTTACATTTTTCTTGAACATGTCCAAAGTCGAAGAGTGTCTTATATACAGAGGCAATGCATTCCAGAGAGTTGGACAAACGGTACTAAAACTTCTGTCATTAAATGTTTTCCTTTTGTTAAAGGGGACAGCAAAACAATAATCCATATTATCAACAGATCTGAGATTTGGTCATTTTATGACAGGATTGTGTAACAGTTCTGTTAGATAAACTGGATCATTGTCCATTAAACAGTTATACATCGTACATAGTATTTTAAAATCGATTTTAGCTTTAATTGGTTACCAATGCAGTTCAAACAAAGAGTCTTTGGAACCACAGACACTTGGGTTTGGAGCTCAAAACGCCTTTAAAATCCAAATAAAATGCATATTTGTCAATCCCAGCACATGTACTGATCATATATATCAAAAAAAAACTTAATATAAGCCGTTTTGAAAAAAAAAAAAATCATATTTCAACATAAGATACACAAGATAAAAATGTTCGCCGGAAAAAATCCGCACCCCTACCGTCATAATCACCATGTATTTTATTCCGTTTCCAATATTTTCACATAATCCTTTGGTCCATCGACACAGAAGATATAATTCTTCACGATGATGGTCAATTTTAAACTTCAACGGTAATATAAACAATGCAACAGCCGCTATAAACATCAAGATTATCGCCGTTTTCCTCCATTTACAAAATCTTTCGATAAATTCAAACGTGACAGTCGGCTATGAACGAAGCCATCCGATTATTTGGTTCCCAAACTTAAAAGCGCTGCGCATTTTGCACACGGCAAAGCTGGGGCCACGTTTGAATTTATCGAAAGATTTTATAAATGGAGGAAAAAGACGATAATCTTGATGTTTATAGCGGCTGTTGCATTGTCTATATTACCGTTGAAGTTTAAAATTGACCATCATCGTGAAGAATTATATCTTCTGTGTCGATGGACCAAAGGATTATGTGAAAATATTGGAAATGGAATAAAATACATGGTGATTATGACGGTAGGGGTGCGGATTTTTTCCGGCGAACATTCTTATCTTGTGTATTATTACAGATGTTGAAATATGATTTTTTTTCAAAATGGCTTATATTAAGTTTTTTGATATATATGATCAGTACATGTGCTGGGATTGACAAATATGCATTTTATTTGGATTTTAAAGGCGTTTTGAGCTCCAAACCCCAAGTGTCTGTGGGCATAAACAGTAATATTCTTTGTACATGAAAATATTCAGGGCAATAACATAGCCATAACTCGTGTTAGATAGTAATATCTTGACATGCCAATGAGATGTTAATTGCCTTTTTGTATCTATGGTTGCAATAAAGTTTTGTTGAAATCAATACAGCAGTTGCAAAGAAATAGCAATATTGCTCTATATGCAACTACATAACTAATCAAGGGCCTAGGTCTGGTCTGAACAACTTCAACAAGGCAACAATATGCACATCTCCTCTTGGTATTAATGGTTCCTATATAGTTTAATTGAATTCCAGCTAGTAGTTGCAGAGAAGTAGCGCGGAAACGAATTTTTCTCTATATGCAAACTGCATAACTAATCAAGGACCTAAACTCTGAGTTAAAGGGTCTGACCGGAACAAGTTGACGATATGCGTATCTCCTCTTGATATTGATGATTCCCATAAAGTTTTGTTGAATTCCAGCCAGTAGTTGCAGAGAAGTAGCACGGAAACGATTATTGTTCTATATGCATTCTGCATAACTAATCAAGGGCCATAACTCTGAGTTAAAGTATCTGACCGGAACAAAGCAACGCTATGGGCATCTCCTCTTGGTATTGAAGGTTCCCATAAAGTTTTGTTGAATTCCAGCCAGTAGTTGCAGAGAAGTAGCGCGGAAACAATTTTTACTCTATGCAAATTGCATGACTTATCAAGGGCCATAACTCTGAGTTAAGTGTCTGACCGGAATAAGATGACAATATGCGCATCTCCTCTAAGTATTGAAGTTTCCTATAAAGTTTCTTTGAATTCCAGCTAGTAGTTGCAGAGAAGTAATGCGGAAACGAATATTGTTCTATATGTATACTGCATGACTAAACGAAATTCGGACGGATGGATGGACGGACGGATGGACGGAAGGAAGGACAACGCCAAAACAATATCCCCCTCCCGATTCCATCGGCAGGGGATAACAAAGCTTCACGAATATTAAAAGTTTAAGCTTCTGAGCAGCATTATTCATAGCTCTGGAAAGATGTTAAACACACCTTATATTGTGAACAAACAGCAGACAGACAATCAGGGTTATTTAACACTTTACACAATTACCCCCTAATAAGCCGACCAATACTGCAAGTGTAACTAGAAATGTGTCAATTGGACACAGGTGCCCACCGCGCAACTGTTATGTCAATCTTATGATGTAAGTCAAGGGCAATAACTGAAAAGAATCCACATGCAAAGTCCCAGGTGCATAGCTTCACAGTGATGTGAATCATTTTTCCTGTATTTTAGTGATATTGATCATTATTCCTGTAAAGTTGGTTGATTCTAACTCAAGCACTCAAAGAACAAATAACAACATAATGAAACAGGTTTTACTAAGTCAAGGGAAATAACTCTACAAATACTGGATAAATCCACAATCGAAACCCCAGGTGTAAAACTTAATATGCTGAGTAACTTTCCCGTAAGGTTTCATGACTCTTGTTGAAAATTGCAAAAAATTTCTATGTTAAGTGCAATAACGCTAAAAATGCTAAAAATATCCAGACGAAAATACCCAGGTGCACAACAACACATGCTAATCAACATTCCTGTAAAGTTTCATGACTCTATGTCAAATCCTTTTTGAGTTACATGCAGCACAAGTTGAAAGTTGTAAAATTTTACTAAGTCAAGGGCAATAACTCTAAAAATACTTAAAATATCCAGACAAAAATACCCAGGTGCACAACTACACATGCTGATCAACATTCTTGTAAAGTTTCATGACTCTAGGTAAAATATTTTTTGAGTTTTATGGGACACAAGTTGAAAATTGCAAAATTTTACTAAGTCAAGGGCAATAACACTAAACATACAAAAAATAACCAGACGAAAATACCCAGGTGCACAACTACACATGCTGATCAACATTCCTGTAAAGTTTCATGACTCTAGTTCAAATGCTTTTTGAGTTACATGCAAGTTGCAAAATTTTACTAAGTCAAGGGCAATATCTCTAAAAATACTAAAAATATCCAGACGAAATTATCCAGGTTCACAACTACACATGCTGATCAACATTCATGTAAAGTTTCATGACTCTAGGTCAAATGCTTTTTGAGTTACGTGCGACACAAAAGTAAATGGGCGGACGGACGAGCGGAAGGACGAACGGACGGAAGGACGGACGGACAAGGGTTAATCTAAATGCCCGCCACTAAAGTGGGGGCACAAAAATAAAACATCTCCCTATGCCCTTGACAATTAAATAATTGTCATGGCCAAATGTTAAAGCTAAATAAATGCTGGGAAGCTAAAAAAATTCTTGAAATATCTAATATCATTTTTCCTTTTGAAATAAAATAATTTCTTCAGCAAACAGAGACAGCATAATATCTATAAAACATAATTTGATACATATAAAGAAAGAGTCCTAGCCATGGCCCAATATTTATAGTGAAAAAAAAAAGGTTTATGATAATATGTTCTGTAACAATTTGATTCTTAACAGTATGTTCTGTGACAATTTGGTTTATGAAATTGTATTCTGTGAAAATGTGATTCATGTAAATAAGTTGTGTGGCAATTTTGTTTAAGACATAATATTCTGTGACAATTTAATTAATAACATTATATTGTGTGACAATTTAATTCACAACATAGTATTCTGTGAAAATTTGAGTTATGTCATTATATTCTGTGAACATTAGTTTAAGACATTATAGTCTGTGAAAATTTAATTCATACCAATATATTCTGTTACAATTGGTTTATGACATTATATTCTGTGACAATTTGAATAATGAAAATAAGTTTTATGACAACTTGGTCTTTGACATTATAGTCTGTGAAAACTTAATTCATGACATAATAGTCAGTGTCACAATTTGATTGCTAACAATTATGTGTTGTGACAGTTAGGTGTATGGCATAGTCTGTGTTTATTATTATTATTATATATATACATCTATGGATGTACAGATGTTTTCTTTTTTGTGGAGAAGTTGGCAATTATTTGTGGAGAAAACAAAATTGTACTGCTGCTGGATGTGGGAAATCTCTTAATAAACAATCAAAGATAAATCAAGAAAAAAATAGTACTTTAAATCTTGTATAAAATGTGTCACTTTTATTATCTTAAACAAAACATGTTGTTATATCTCCATTTATGATTTTATTTCAAGATCTATACTTGGGATTGTGAAGAAGGATATTTATTTTGGTATCGATATATTAAATGTCCCATTGCCTACCAGTAATTTGTTTCTATTCATATGTATATATTTAACAATTGAATATAAACTTAAATGTACCTGGACCAGTTTAATAATGTTTGTTTACAGATAGCATTTACAAAATTTAAAATATTTAATTTTCTTTTGTTTGTACAGTTATATCATGTAAGTTGATACCTAAAATATTGAGGAAATTTTGGCTTGTGAATCAACAACTTATTTTTTACGAATTGATTTTGTAGAGTTTTTATACCAGTGGATAGACTAGATGGGAAAAACTAAACTTTGTGTATTTAAAATATCACAGCATAAGCAGGATAAATGGTGAGTTTATAATCTTATTTAACAAGTTAATAAAATTCAACATTACAATATCTTATTTATGATCACTAACATTGACCTATAATAACCTTGACAATAATTTTCCTGTACCCTACCCACATCTTTCTTGATTTTCAATGTTACTTGTTCTAGATGGGGTAGGGGTTAGCATAAAAGATTTTGTAACAGTTAATGTGAAAGCAGTTCCCTACATGATAAAATAATCTAAAATAATGCTTTTAATACATTACTTGAAGTCAACATGAAAGCTTAGATCAGGGGGTAACATATTATATTGGGCAAAATCACTCAATGTTAAATTCTTTCTGGCAAATTCACTGCTGGTCATAAATAATTGTATGCTATTTGTGTATTCCAGATTAATAATGGCTGTTCCTGGTAAAAAGGCATCTCAAAAATTCTCATTTACACTATCTCAAGGTGGTGCTGAAGATTTTGACATTTATTGTGAAATATGTGACAGAGCTGATATCAGGCTTCCTACCTTTGGTTACTGTGTAGATTGTGAGGAACACTTATGCCAATCTTGCTTCAACACTCACAAACTACCAAAACCACTACGCCATCACCAACTTTTAGATAAAGATCACATGCCACAACAACAAAAACTCCATGGATCATCAAAATCTACTTCCAATCCACAGACTGGTAATCTTACAAAGCCTTGTACTAAACACAGCAAGGAAGTGATTAAATTCTACTGTCATGACCATAATGCTCTTATATGTAGTGTTTGTGTAACCCTTGAACACACACCAACATCCTGTCATGTTGATTACATACCCAATATATCAGGACAGATTATAGGCAGCATCGAGTTAAAACAAACTCTGAAAGATATTAATGAATTGAGAAACAAATGCTCCCAGATTACAAGTGGCCTGAAACAAAGAGTTGCTACATCAACAACTTCTCTTAAAGATGCTATTGCAGAAATTGACAATTACAGAGAAGAGATAAACAAGAGATTAAATGAACTAGAAAATGCGGTTAAGTATACTGCTACAACAATCCAACAAGACAACAACAACAAGTTGAAAACAACAGAAACAACATGTAATGCTATCAACAAATCATTTCAAGCATCAGTTGATACTCTGAAACATCTCAATTCAAACAAAAAAACTGACCAACTGTTTACTGAACTTAAGATAGCTCAGCAACTGATTCAAGATAATAGCAATTTAATATCACAACTACAAACACTCAATGACATTGATGATTACATCTTTATACCAAATAAATGTATCAAGAAAGTCCTTCAGGATGAGAATTCATTAGGAACATTGAGCAGTAAGAAGCTAAAGCAACCAGCTGAACCAAACAATCAAGATGCAGTAGCAATGAAATTGTCTACCCCTAGAAGCATTTATGCTAAAACATCCTCAGATGAAAAGATTTGCTCGATTTCTGGTATAGCTGTTTCTCCTCAAAATCAATTATTTGCAGCAGATTCTGAATCTATTAAAATGATAAACATCAATAGTGGAGCTATCAAACATGTACACCTGAAATCAGGACCCTGGGATATCACCATGGTCACCAAAGATTCACTTGCTGTTACATTACCAGACATTGAAACAATACAGTTCATTTCATTCTCCCCAGACTCACTCTCACTGAAGAACAAACTGAAGGTAGATGGACAGTGTTATGGTATCAGTCATCATCAGGGAAAACTTGCAGTAACATTTAAAAATCCTGCTAAACTACAAATCATGGATTTGAAAGGTAATGCTAAAATTACAGTTGATAAAGATTCCAATGGTGGCGATATATTCAGTTATCCTTGGTATGTCACAACAAACAGTCATTCAATATATGTATCTGACTATGACAAACGTGTAGTTCTACGATTCAACTGGCAGGGAGAGATGATAGGATCAGTAGGAATGAGAGGACCAAGTGGTATAACACTGTTAGATGATGGGTCTTTTTTAGTGAATAGTTACAAAAGTGATTGTATACATAGAGTAAGTGGTGACTGTAAAGACAGTAAAACTATACTGGAGGATGTAGAATATCCTCAAGCTGCATGTTGGTGTGCTGAAAATAGTGCACTTTGTGTTAGTAGAAACAACTTTTACAGTGTTGACAGTGATGACAATTATATCAAAGTGTATAAAATGGTGTAAATGCCATGACAAGATATGGTACAACACTAACAATGGGACAAGTATACCAGATCATCATTCATTCAACTTATTCATCTTATTATAGAAATTATTGTAACATTATGATTTCACATATAACTTAAGTTTTGTAGATCTATGGATGTACAGATGTTTTATTTTTTACAAAATAAATAAGATGTTTTATTAATATATCTGTTGTGAAATTGTGGAAACATAAAAGCAGAATACAGTAATGCATAATACATAATGCTTGACAATAAAGTGCTCAAAAAACATAACACTTAAAATGTAGATATAATATATCAATTCTGCAACTTTGGAGACAAAACGATTTTTATTTTTCATTTTTCATCATTTAACAGAAAATGTAAAAGGTGATGATATCCTTGATTGATCAATTTTTAGAATTTTATGTGATATAAAAGATAATTTTATTTTTATTGGCATATTGATACACAGCAGTGAAATAAAAAAGCTGTTATATTAATATTGTGCATGTGTATACAAAGAAAAATGTAGCAAATGCACACAAAAAAAAAGAAAAAAGGAAAGAAAAAAAGGGAGAGAAAATCAAAATGGGATTGCAGTAAGAGTTCTATTTTTTTTTACCAATCACCATGTTTCATTATAAAAATCAATTCCTTGAATAATTTTGCTACATAGAAGAAAATTGGTGATAAGAAAAAATGGGACAGTATGATATAAGAGCTATGTTGTTTTTTCATCTTTTTGTCTTGTAAATCTCATAATCTATATATATCATACTATTACATGTGACACTTTGTACATTTTATGCCATACAATGCTAAATTTAACTATTTTAAAGCATATTTCTAAATGGAATTTAAGTATTATGACTTTAATCTTTTCATTTGTTTCATAACATACATGTATATAACTTTAATCTATAAGATCCCATACTGTATAACAGTACAATTTTCAAAGGAAAATTTGATTGAATTTACTATTTTCATCACCAGATCTCATCCCATTACTAATAGCGTTTCGGCAAGATTTTGATTGATAATATCAGGTAATCATCTGTGTGGAGTTTAAGTACCTTATAATAGCTGTAATAATTTTATCTCTTAGTTTGACTACAATTTTGCTGTTTAAAACACTTTCTAATTTTTAATAACATACATGTATATAGCATGAATCTGTAAGATCCCGTATTGTTTTGATTAAAACCTTAATAGCCTGTTTGTGATGATATCCATGCTACCAGTGCAGACCAATATCAGCTAGTCAGTTGTGCTAACTGTGTCATCTGATCATGGTCTGCACTGTTTGCTATTCAGTCAATTTTTAGCTCGACTATACGAAGTATATGGAGAGCTGTCCTACTCGCCCCGGCGTCGGCGTCGGCGTCGGCGTCCGCGTCCGCGTCCAGATTTTAGATTAAAGTTTTGGTGCAGTAAAATATTTTTCACTATAACTTTGTCATTTCTTAAGGTATCAACTTCAAACTTCAAATATATGTTCCTTATCATCAACCACATCTTATGTGACAAGGTTCATAACTCTAGCACCAATATTTACAGATTTATCTCCCCTTGAACTTAGAATTTTCCTTAAAAAATACTATTTCTTACTGTTTCTTCTTTATTTCTTAAGGGATCAACCTCATACTTCAAATATATTTACCTTATCATCATCCCCATCTTATGTGACAAGGTTCATAACTCTAGCACCAATATTTTCAGATTTATCTCCCCTTGAACTTAGAATTTTCCTCAAAAAATGCTATTTCTTACTGTTTCTTCTTTATTTCTTAAGGGATCAACCTCATACTTCAAATATATTTACGTTATCATCATCCCCATCTTATGTGACAAGGTTCATAACTCTAGCACCAATATTTTGAGATTTATCTCCCTTTGAACTTAGAATTTTCCATAAAAAATATTATTTTTTACTGTTACTTATTTATTTCTAAAGGGATCAACTTCATACTTCAAATATATTTACGTAATCATCATCCACATCTTATGTGACAAGGTTCATAACTCTAGCACCAATATTGCAAGAATTATCTCCCCATAAACTTAGATTTTTTTACTAGAAAAATGTTATTTTTTATTATAACTTTTTTATTTTTAAAGGTATCTACCTCAAACTTCAAATACTTATTCCTTATCATCAATTACATTTTATGTGACAATGTTCATAACTCTTAAAGCAATATTTACAGATTTATCTCTCTTTGAACTTAGGATTTTCTTTAAGAAATATGATAACTTCTTTACTTTTTAAGGTATCTACTTCAAACTTCAAATATATATTTCTTATCATTACACAAATGTTGTGTGAAAAGGTCCATAACTCTAGCATGACTATTTCTAGAATTATTCCCCTTGATCTTGGAATTTATGTTAACAAATGTTATTTTTTTTTACTATAACTTAATACATAATTATACATAATTGATTTTTCTTTCATAGTTTTGTCCTCCTTACTGCGTCCAGTATTTTATTAGTCGAGCTTCGCTGTCTCCTGTGACAGCTCTTGTTTATTTTAAAATTTCCGTAAAATGATGATTTGATCTGTCCAGACTGAAAAAATGGGTTAATAAGTTTGACATATTCAGCAAGATAAAGGTAAAAATAGAACTATTTCTATGGTAAGTGTAAGACTTCATATTTTTGTTGTATATAGAAATATTTTATTAAACATTTAAGCAAACGAGTTTTATGTTTTACTTTCATTTTCCTATGCATTGAGAGTGCCTATGTTCATACCGAAGGGTATCAATTTAACTTTCACAGTAAACTATAAATGTAATAAAGAGTTGTCACGTGAGTGATGTATCAATCCCAACACCTCTCTGCATGATTGATTTATTTATTTTCTTTAGACCGGACAGTCATAATAACCTATGACAGTGCAAGCACTAATTTCCAGTAGGGTTCTTACCCCAGCAGACTCAAGAGACAGCTATATATGAATCTGTGAATCTGGGAACCAGACACTAGCTCTTATTGAATAGACCCTTTGGTTCTTTTACATGTCCAGTGTATAGCACTGATACATGCAAGGATTACATGGGTTTCTTACCAGTATATCTCTAGGTAGGTTGGAATCACTGAAATTTCTGAAAATTCCCAAATACCCAGGATCGAACTCGGAACCTCAGGAGTGGCAGTCAGTGGTCTAACCAACTGAGCTATCGTGCATGACACAGGATTTAATGTCAGTCCAATTATCCCTATATTTTAACATTTATGTTAAGTTTGAAAAAAACCATCATGGTTCACTTTTACAGTTTATAGTACAGACAAAAAATGTTTGACATTCGACCTTGAGTAAGGGCATGATGGGATGAACATTTGAGCCAGGTTTGGAGAGAATTCTTCACAAAGAGTAAAGGACATGAAGGAAACGCAAGAACATACATGACGAAAAGTGATTCCAGTATAAATCTATTATACAAAGCAAAGTCCTAAAAGCACTGCCAAACACCAGTTTGTCAGAAATAAACAACAACAACAAAACAACATTCTTTTAATAGAATTTAAATGCAAACATAATATGTTTTAAGTTTAATGACATTAAAATGTTTAGTTGAAATATATTTTGTATTCTGAAGAATACAAACGCACTAACTGACTGTCAACAGCACAGTGCTAGCACTGGGACTCCCCTGGGATTTAAAAGCCTAAACACATAACATTTGAGCTTCTTACATAAATGAGCTAGTGCACTTTAAACAGAAAAATATATAAAGATAGTTAAGACATAAACTTTGAAATAAATTGAAAATCGTATTTTTAAGCTTTCCTTAGCCCGATTTGAGTGAAAAGCGTTTAAACGCTTTTCATTTTGGGACATTTTTTTTACTATTTGAATTCTGAAATTTTGCACAAAGATTAGTGGTCTAAACCTTCATCAAATGGTACATTTATCTGGAAAAAATATTTTCAATCCCATCATGTCAGAAGACCTCAGTGGAGTCCTTTTTAGTTATACCCCCTTAATTGTTTAAATTGGTCTCATTGATGTTTTCATCGTATCCAAGATTAATTAAACAACACAAACGCCAACTTTTTCAAGCCTCAATACAATATGCTTTCTCAATATGTATACAAGAGTATATGTATAATTTTTAATATCTACTTCAGTGTAAATCTAGTACACTTACTAATAACTATCTCCATATGGCCTCACAAAATATCCAAATATGAAATTTTATCTATCAAATTGTACATATCAACTTATAGAGTGGATTTGAGTTGTTGGATAGGGAAATTAAAATTTGCACGCCTACCATAAAGAATATCCTAGTTTGCTGGATAAATCAATGGTAAGTTACTATATTCAGTATTTTGTTTTAAAATTATGTCTAAATGCACTAACATTATTATAGAAGACTTTGCTGGCAGTATAACAATCCAACACATTTTCTCCAGTAGTTAACTTTAACAAATTATATCTCTCCCATCATCCAGTGGTTCAATTTTGGTGTGGATGGGGGAAAATAGTTTTTTTTCCATTTAACTTTTCATAAAACTTGTGAATTTGGTCCCTCCCCTCATCACTTCAACTGCAACAGGCTGTAAGACTAAAACTAGAGGAGGTTGATAGGTCTGTCCCATATGTAATCTCAGAACTGGACAGCGGTATGTAAATCCAGCCAGCAGTTTGATCTATGAAAGCAGGACAAGGTGTTTGTATGTGTAGCCGTGGCGGCTATTTTGTGTAGCGAAGTGAAACATAACAGCAACATGCACCAGTAAGGTTTGTACTGACCTTTCCTGTGAAGTTTCGTCTAAATCCTGCAAGCAGTTTGACCTGTGAAAGCCAGACAAAATTTTTCAATGATAGCTCTGGCAGAATTTTGTGCAGTAAAGTTGTACATGCTTACAATATCATTGGTTGGCTGTGAAGTTTCATTGAAATCAAAGGCAAAAACAATAAATTGGGAAACATTATGATTTTTTATCTCGACTATTCGAAGAACGACTATTCGAAGATATATGGAGAACTATTGCAGTCGCCCCGGCGTCGGCGTTGGCGTTCACGTCTGCGTTGGTTAAAGTTTTTTTGTAAAGTCAAATATCTCAATTATTGCTTGAGATATTCAATTGAAACTTACAATACTTATTTATAGTAACAATGTACATCAGATTACAATATTTACAGAATTATGCCCCTTTTTAACTTAGAAATTTTGGTAAAAGTTTTTTGTAAAGTCAAATATCTCAATTATTGCTTGAGATATTCAATTGAATTTTACAAAACATTTTTATAGTTAAAATATACATCAGTTTTCAAAGTTGCATAACTCTGCCTGCAATATTTGCAGAATTATATCCCTTTGAAATTTTGGTTAAAGGTTAAAGGTCTTAAGAACTATCAAAGATATTTACTTGAAACTTTACACATGTTCTTAGGGTCATAATTAAAGGTAACATCTCAAGATCCATTACTCTGCCATGTATTTTGACTGAATTATGCACTCTTGTGAAAAAAATCTCTTTTTCTTGGTTTAACATGCAAGATTTGCATGTCCCTGAAACTGTTAAAGATTCAAACTTGAAACTTCATATATGTATATCTGTGGTCATAAATAATGATCACTGAACAGCACTCATATCTGTGTCATGTATTGAGACTGATTTATCTCCCCCTTTTTATAGAAATATAGAAATAGTATTAGTCCGTCCGTCCTCCCGTCCTTCCGTCCGACATTTTTGTCCAGAGCATATCTCAAAAAGTATTTGAGATATCAACTTGAAACGTAATAGGTGGATAGATCTCATTGAGGAGGAGTGCAGTTTATAAGAATGGTAACTCTACCCTGCAAAATATTTGAGTTATTGCCCTTTGTTATTTTTCAAAACTAATTTTTGTCTGGAGCATACATCAAAAAGCATTTGAGATATCAACATGAAACTTCATAGGTGGGTAGAACTCACTCAGGAGGTGTGCAGTGCATAAGAATGGTAACTCTATCTTTCAAAATTTTTGAGTTATTGCCCTTTGTTATTTTTCATACTTAATTTTTCACCTGAGTGGAGCATAACTCAAAAGAATTTGAGATGTCAACATGAAACGTCATAGGTTAAAGATCTTATTGAGGAGGAATGCTGTGCGCAAGAATGATAACTCTTCATTATATAATTTTTGAGTAATAGCCCTTTGTTCTTTTTCGGAGCTTATCTCAAAAAGTATTTGAGGTATCAACTTGAAACTTCATAGGTGGATAGATCTCATTAAGGAGGCGTGCAGTTTACAAGAATGGTAACTCTACCCTTCATAATTTTTAAGTTATTGCCCTTTGTTATTTTTCGAAATTAATTTTTGTCCGGAGCATAACTCAAAAAGCCTTTGAGATATTAACCTGACACTTCATAGGTGGATAGATCACATTGAGGAGGAGGAGTGCAGTGCACAAGAATGATAACTCTACCCTGCAGAATTTTTTGATTATTTTCCCACGCCCAAAGGCAATGGGGGATATAGAAATAGTCTTCGTCCGTCCTTCCGTCCGACATTTTTGTCCGGAGCATATCTCAAAAATTATTTAGGTATCAACTGGAAACTCTACCTTTCATATTTTTTGAGTGATTGCCCTTTGTTATGTTTCATACTTATTTTTTCACCTGAGTGGAGCATAACTCAAAAGTGTTTGCGATGTCAACATAAAAACCATAGATGGATAGATCTTATTGAGAAGGAATGCTGTGCGCAAGAATGATAACTCTTCATTATATAATGTTTGAGTTATTGCCCTTTGTTCTCCTTTGTTCTTTTTCATACTATTTGTTCTGAAGCTTATCTCACAAAGTGTTCGACGTATCAACCCAATAGAAACTTCATAGGTGGATAGATGTAATTGAAGAGGAGTGCAGCGCACAAGAATTGTAACTTTCCCTGCATTATTTTTCAGTAATTGCCCTTTGTAATTTTTCATACTTATTTTTTGTCCAGAAAATAACTAAAAAAGCCTTTGAGATATTAACCTGACACTTCATAGGTGGATAGATCACATTGAGTAGGAGTGCAGTGCACAAGAATGATAACTCTACCATGCAGAATTTTTTTATTATTTACCCACGCCCAAAGGCAATGGGGGATATAGAAATAGTCTTCGTCCGTCCTTCCGTCCGACATTTTTGTCCGGAGCATATATCAAAAATTATTTAGGTATCAACTGGAAACTTCATAGGTGGATAGATCTCACTGATGAGGAGTGCAGTGCACAAGAATGATAACCTACCCTGCAAAATAGTTGAGTTATTGTCCTTTGTTATTTTTCAAAAAATTGTCCAGAGCATAACTCAAAAAGCCTTAGAGATATCAACATGAAACTTTATGTCACTCAGGAGGTGGGCAGTGCGAAGAATGATAACTCTAATTTTCATTATTTTTGAGTGATTGTCCTTTGTTATATTTCATACTTAATTTTTCACCTGAGTGGAGCATAACTCTAAAAGTGTTTGAGGAGGAATGCTGTACACAAGAATGATAACTCTTTATTCTATAATTTTAGCTCGACTTTTCGAACGATATGGAGAGCTATTGTAGTCGCCCCGTCGTCGGCGTCCGCGTCGCCGTCTGCGTTGGTTAAAGTTTTTGTAAAGTCAAATATCTCAATTATTATTGAAACTTACAATTGTTATTTAAAGTAACAATGTACATCAGATTGTTAAGTTGGATAACTTTTCTAACCATATTTATAGAATTATGTCCTTTTTTAACTTTTTAAATTTTGGTTAAAGTTTTTTGTATAGTCAAATATTTCAATTATTACTTGAGATGTTCAAATGAAATTTACAAAACTTTTTTTAAAAGTAACAATGTACATCAGTTTGCAAAGTTGCATAACTCTGCCTGCAATATTTGCAGAATTATTTGCCCTTTTGAAACTCAGAAATTTTGGTAAAAGGTCTTAAGAACTCTCAAAGATATTTACTTGAAACTTTAAACATGTACTTAGGGTCATTATTGAAGGTCACATCTCAAAATCCATTACTCTGCCATGTGTTTTTACTTAATTATGCTTCCTTTTGTACTAAAAAAATCTCCTATTCTTGGTTAAGTTTTACATGCAAGTTTTGCATATCTCTGAAACTATTAAAGATACAAACTTGAAACTTCATATCTAATTTGTGGTCAAAGATAATGATCACTGAACAGCACTCATATCTGTGTCAAGTATTTAGGCTGATTTATCTCCCCCCTTTTTACTTAGTCTCTTGGTTATTGTTTACATGCAAGTTTTACATATCTCAATAACTATCGAAAATATTTATTTAAAACTTCACATATGCATTTAGGGTCATAATTGTTGGTCACTGACCAAGATCCTTAATTATATCTTGCATTTAGGCTGATTTTCTCCCCTTTTTCAACTTAAAAAAATCATGGTAAAGTTTTTGCTTGTATGCTGTTATCTCTATAACTACTGAAGGGTTTGTGCCTTTTTTGGTCCTCCGACAGGTCTTGTTGAGTTATTGCTCTTTGTTCTTTTTCATGCTATTTTGTCCGGAGCTTATCTCAAAAAGTGTTAGAGGTATCAACTTGAAACTTCATAGATGTATAGATTTCATTGAAGAGGAGTGCAGTGCACAAGAATGATAACTCTACCCTTCATATTTTTTAGTTATTGCCCTTTGTTATTTTTCATACTTATTTTTTTCCTTAGTGGAGCATAACTCAAAAAAATCTTTGAGATGTCAACATGAAACTTCATAGGCGGATTGATCATATTTAGGAAGAATGCTGTGCGCAAGAATGATAACTCCTCCATTTATAGTTTTTGAGTTATTGCCCTTTTTATTTTTCATACTATTTGTACGGAGGTTATCTCAAAAAGTATTACAGGTATCAACCTGAAACTTCGAAAATGCATTTAGGGCCAAGATCCATAATTCTATCTTGCATTTACGCTGATTTGTCTCCCCTTTTGAACTTTATATTTAGGTCAACATAAAGGTGCAGTTATTACAGAACAATTATTATCATTTCCAAAGGTATTTTTCTCTCAATACATTTCCTTTTCTAACATGACTGTCCATTCAAACTCCAACACGCCCATTACAAAACTGCTGACTTGTTCCTTGATTTTAAAAGGAATTTGCTGCATATATTTTTTAATATTTTTTATAAACAAAAATGATGGTTCCTGATAATTTAATCTTTTTACACATTTTTGTTCACAGGTAGAGGCCTTTTTATTATAAATGTGTTTTCTTGTGTACAGAAGTACTTTTGCTATCATAATTATTCACATCTTTATTAAGACACCTTTACACATTGCAATTTGACCGACAGTATACTTTGTTCAAATGTTTATTTGCTTTTATGATATTCAGATTCTTATTAGTAACTTAAGCTTATGTCGGCATCTTCCATTTAGTATATTCATAAATACTAATAAAAAGTATCAGTTGTTTCATATTTAACTGTATCTTTTTGAAGAACTATTTCAATTTTCACTTGCAGTACCTCAAACTTCTTTCCAAAAGTCTTTATCATAATGATTTTCTGGTAGATATAAAATGCAATTTGGTAGAGTGCTGGTCTGTCAGAAGGTAGACCTGTATTTAACCCCTATCCTTTCCATTAGTACAATGCCATATTATTTTGATAACGATTTGCCATAATGCCGGCAAATAAACACATAAGAAATTTCCAATTCCTGTAAATATATTGAATTACTGTATATGGTGTGATGAAGTATTTAATATGGTGGCTGATTTGTGCCATTTGTGTTTTCGTCCCGTGCCCCCGCCATTTTAACTTGTTAATTCCCGACCTTTCGCTTGGCGGGGTCGCGGGGCGAAAACACGCTAATTAATAAGCGGGGTCGCGGGGCGAAGTTTTATCTTATTAAACTTCGCCCCGCGCCACCGCCGTTTTATTTCTTAATTTTCGCTAATTAGCGCGTTTTTGCTCCGCGACTCCTTCATTTCTACTTGTTAATTCTCGATTTTTCGCTTGGCGTGGTCGCGGGGGGAAAACACGAATGGCACAAATCAGCCATGTGTGCAATAATTTAACGATAATATTTATAGCACAATATTAAAATTTGAAATATACATAACATGTACAGTGTATATATTCCATACATTTACGTAAACATGCTTTTCATTTTAAGGAACCACTTTTTCTGCGCCTTATTTTTCTAGTCTTATTATAGTATATAGCCTATATAGAACATTGAAAATAGTTTGTTTTAAGAGGTAAAAAAAGATTTAGCGGTGTTTATCATAAATGAATCAAAGTTACATCCCTTTAAAAGTTATACGCCATTTGTTCATTGGTAAACATGAAAAGTAAAAAAATAAGAAATGCAGAGTTTTACAATGAAGGACTTTCTTTAATGGTTATGCATGAGGAGGAAACATGAAAAATGCGTTTTAAATCAATAAAAAATCGCATATTGATATTGCAGATAATTGTGTATTGAAATTAGCGGCGTAAGTTCGACGAAAATGGAGCGCTTGATTAACTGAAACTGAAACTGTTTTTTTATACAAATTTACGACTGAGTCAGATTTATCCAAAAGGGTTTATCAGTATGAATGAAATTATATCAGAGAGAATGGCGTAGTGACAAGGTCGATCGTCTTTTTGTTAGAGATCGAAGTGTCTATAATGTTATCAGGTTTTACAAAGTACACGATAATAAACAGATAAACAGTATAAACAAGTGTCAATTAAACTACTACAGGTGTTGTTTTGAAATGAAAGTGTTATTACTTTCACCACTTGTAGACTTCTCAGGAAATTTTGCAACTGTAACAAGAATAAAGTAAGTGTTCTTAGTCAAAAATTTAATATTTTGGTAAAATTGATCTAAACAATTTTTTTACTGGAGGGATTTTTGTTTTTAAAAATATGTATATACTGTACTTTTTGAAGAGAAATGGCATAAAATAATTGCCTCAAATAAGTCCAAAACTTATCACTAAAAGCCATATGCAAAAGAAAAATTTCAATCAAGCAATGTTTTTAGTTATACTTAACATATAATTTACTTTATTTGAATTAGGAAAGGACTGGAGAAGAAGGGCTTGCGATGTTTCCTGAAATGCTCTTTGAAACTTTCAAGGAGCGAAGACCTCAAAGATACTCTAGATGAGTTGGGTATTGACATTATTTTAGCCGTCCATGTTTACAAATCTGGAAAAATTCTAATTGGTATGTAATTTTGTATAAATATGAAAAGTTTATCTTTAAATCTCAAAAAAAAATATTGTCCAATGTCCATACCCTGCTGAGTTTTGAGTAGAGGATTTATTTGTGTTTTGAATTTAGAATTACCATTGTTAATCTTATGAATTTTGATAGTGAAGTACTGACAGATAGCAGTATAAAGCAGTTGGTAGATTTAATCTTTACCCAAGAGATATTAACCTTTTCCACTAATAAAGAGCAAGGTCAGCCTTCATATCTGTGCAACCTGACTGGACAATTAACTAGTATACTGTTGATTGACCCATCGGAAATTTTCATCTTTTAGAAATTCAGCGGGTTATGCAGACTTGCCTAGGTCTATACTTTGGGCATAGGAGTGTCAATAACAATGTGCATTGTATTTTTAACATTTTTAAACTTCATTCATTGCAGTATTATCGACTTGCAAACAAATGATATATGAATACCTGTAAAGAATACACAAGTACATGGGGAGTTCTCATATTCCCAGTCGTAATGTTTAAAAAAAGAAATAATATTGGTAAAGTGTATTGATTAAAGATAGATTTAAGAGGCAATAATTTGTCTGGGCAGCTTAGATTATTTTGATCAGATCACTTGTGATTGTAAATTGATTTTTATTTTTAAATATATACAATGTTAAAACATTTCAAGGCCATATAGATTTATATTTACGAATACATTACAAGGATTTGATAATACATGTATTATTTATGGAAGATATTAAATTGTTATCAATAGCATTTGTTGTAACTTTAGAATCTTTCTTATTATTCTAAATGCTACATTGATAAGTCAAGTTTACAACCCATAAGAATAATGAATTTGTAGAATAAATAATGGGTAAGACAAACTAAAACATACATGTCAGACAGACCTGTATTATATTGTACATTGTTAACCTTTAACCTACTGAAAGTGATTTGCCTTTACCATTAGTCCACAGCTAGGCCAGCAGTCTGGTTTTTGTATGTTGTGAATGAAATTCCTTGAAATTTATATGGACTGTTCCAAATTATAAGCAGGGCAAGTCCATTAGCTTAACGTTTAAGGTATTGACCGTATTCACTCCTTACAGGAGAGTATTTGTTATTTCATATATTTGAATTCTGGTTGGTAATTGAATGTGTAAATAATTCTTATATTAACTTATTAATTTTTCAAACCATTGGACAATTCAGATATATTCCAGTATACATGTGCAGGAATATAGGTACGCTTAAGGTCTTTCTCCATCAGTAAAGCTAAAATGTCACCAAATATGGCCGTTACTAAGTCACATTGACTTGTAACTCGAAACTGGACTACAATACAATAAAAAATACAAATTATTATCTATGATAAATGTAAATTTATCGCACCATTTCCAGATGTGAAGATACCGTATATTTTGATTCTCGGTGGAACTGACGTCAATGAGCTTACGTCAGATCATGAGAAGATGGACATTATGACGAAGGCAGTGAATAATTCAAGGTATAATCATCACCTTGGTTTAGTGGTAGTCTTTAATCTAAGAAAATTATAACTTTTCTTATTCAGTGACACAGTACAATCTTACTACAGTCCATCATAGTTCTCTAATGATTGTCAAAGATAAATATTGGAAATCAACACCTTAAAGGGACTCCACTGAGGTTTAAAGCCAAACAAACATAACATTTGAATTTCTTACATAAATGAGCTGGAGCACTTTTAACAGTAATATATGCAAAGGTAGTTAAGAAATATACTATGAAATAATTTCAAAATCATATTTTAATGCTTTTCTTAGCCCAATATGAGTGAAAAGCTTTTAATTTGGGTCATTTTTTTTACAATTTGAATAATTATTCTGGAAAAACGAAGTGCGGGAAAGATCTGAAATTTTGCACAAAGATTAGTGGTAGAGCGGGTGTGGGTATTACCGAACGTGCGTGTATTTCCGAACACAATTTTTTTTCCACCATAACCTTCTTAATGTTCTTCTTATAAGGCAGTGACATCAGAAACATGATGTCACTTCCTTTCCCGACATATCTGTAATATTGCCAACGTGATACTTGACAAAGCAAAGATTTCCAAGACTAAAATACTACTACGCTTGACAAGTAAGTACTTCGTTACAAATATTCTAATTTTAGATACTTGACGTCATAAGGTTATCTGGTCACGTGATTTTGATAAGTCACATGTTTCTTGTTATTTGTGAAACTAATACATGTACTGTGATATAGAAAATAACTCAATATGTCACTTAGATATTTATTTACTGAGTTATTTACATGTTCGGAATTACAAGCAGTTAAATTTTGTCAATTTTTGTGTGTATTACCGAACGCAATGCTTACACTGATTAAAACAACACAGTTATCATTATTATAGCGTTATAAATTTATCTAAATACAAAATAAATAATTTCATACATCTAAATAAATAAAATAAATTAATTAAGCAATTATCAATCAATTGATTAAAATAAATAAATAAATAAATAAATAAATTAATTAATTAATTAATTAATTAATTAATGCTTTCATTCAACCAATCAAAAAGATATATAGAAAGATAAATAAATGAATAAGTAAATATAAAAATAGAATAACAAATGAATAGATAAACAAATAAATAGCTCTAGAGAAAGAAAAAAATGATCAGACAGACATAGACAATTTCTTTTTATGAATGAGCAGGGAGAAAAACGCAAAACGAGAACGTAATTGAGCAGAATTAAAATGCTTGACCATGTAGCTGAATTAGATCGTTTAAACTCTGTTAGTTGAAACCAAGCATCAAAAAAAGATTCCATAGTCCACCCCTCACAATACTGTCCCGGTCATAAGTTGGCCAGTTCTAACTAAAGTCTGAGGATAGACGTATTGTAGAATTGGTCATGCACGTCATGTCTCAATTATCGGCTATGGAGGCACAAGACTAGAGCTTGCACACACTTGAACTTGAAAATACTTTATGGTGAAAGTCCCTGAACAGCTTTCGTGAAAACAAACCCAGCAGATCTTGGCTGGAGGGTTACTTTCGCCGCAACCCTGAACTGACTCTTCGTACAACCATTCAGCTTGGAAAAGAGAAAGGGAGAGAGAGAGAGAGAGAGATCGATTGATTGTTTCCCAGAAAAGGTTAAAAGATTAAAAGATTGTTTTCTGAGTTCAAACACTACCTTAGGGAGGAGTTAAAAGATACAGATTTACGTAGATTTCACATTACCTGAGTATCTGACAAGTACCTCTTTTGAGTACAAATATTGTTAAGATCACATGGTCAGCTGTTATTGAATGAAAATTAATTTGTCTTCAAATTATTTAATATTTACACATTTGAACACGTAATATAATATGTTATCTATGTCTCTGGTAATACATTGTTCAATAGTGAATACTTGCGAAACATTAATGCTTACATCAATAGTGAAATGATTTGTTTTTAATTTATCTATATTTCAAGTGAAGATTAACGTTTTTTTAAAAAAGTTGGCAGTGTTCGGAAATACACGCATGTGTGTTCGGTATTACACGCATATGGTCGGTAATAGAAGCAGTCAGGTCTAATATATGAAATGTAATAACTCTTTAGATAATGTGCGTAGATAAGTGTTTCTTGCATGTAAATGTAAAGGAAAACTCATATTCGTCAAATGTCAATTGGAAATCGTGATTACTGCGTGTATTACCGAATACTACTTATTTCACCTTAAGTGTTCGGTAATACCCACACCCGCTCTACATCAAGTGGTACATTTATCTGGAAAAAATATTTTCAGTCCCATCATGTCAAAATACCTCAGTGGAGTCCCTTTAAAGAATGCATTAAAATAGACACAATTGAAAAAAAAGATACTGTCTCTGTTTGATTTAGCCTTAAGCATTGATAGTAGTGGTAAATGTAATCAATCCTCCACGCCCCCTTAGCATAATGGCTCAAGCTTAACAACCAACTTCTGGGTGGTTTTTAAGTACAAAATTTTAAAACATCCACAGATGTTTTTCAGCAAACAAATTTATTATTGTAAGTTAAAACATATAAATTGTGCAAGTTAATTATATCCCACATTTACATCCTTTGGCATGATTAGCTAAAGAGTATTAATGTGTAAAATGCATGTTACTCCATTGTCTTGCCTAGTGAATACATGTATATTCCTGTACAATAATATATTATTGTTAGAATGAAAACAATTGATATTACTTATATTTTTATCACTGATAAAAGTTTAATTTGGATTATGGTTTTAATGCAAATAAAAGAAGAAAGCAACTAAATTTTTCACTTTTGATACTGTAATATTAGTTTTCAAAAGTAATACGATAAAGTTTGAAGATTTTTCTTTTCAATTTAACATGACAAGCACAAATATACTGCCTATTTGCTGCAGTTATTATGTACATGTCGTCACCTATGTGCAGTAACAGGTTAACTCCTTATACAATTTAATAGGAGTTAGCCCGTTACTGCACTAAGGTGACGATGTATACATTTTAACTTACAATAAAGTTTGTTCCTGTTGAACTTTTCTTTCATATGTATTATATGTTATGCAAATATAACTGATGAATTGCAATATATATTTTAGGTAGTTCATTGTCAAATAATCATAGTGAAATTATTCAGCTACATGTAATTGTTTCTCTATGATATTTTTATAATGACCCATCATCTATTACCCACGGTATATAATCTAAACATAGTATGTACAGAATATATACCGTGGGTAACCAAGGATGATAATGACAATGAGTCATGAAATAAAGTGAAGATACATGTATGTTGTTTCAGGCATATTGTAGCATTTGGTGAATCATTGGCAGTGAAATTTAAGTCCTGTTGGGTAAGTCTTCGTCAAGTCATGCAATTTTTAGATTATGGCTTCTATAAGTTTTTGCTTTCAGCAAAAAAAAATCTAAATGTATGATTGTTGTAATGTTGTTACTTACACATTTATAAATATTCTGAAAAAAATATGTTTTAACCAAGTCATGCATTTTTATTTCTTAATAAGCTTTTGTTTTAGGGTTGGGCTTATGTGTAGCAATACACCTACAGTACCCATGGAATTCTTACTTACTAAAATGCCACAGTTGTATGTTTAATTCAGAAGAGTTGTTTTTCATTCTCTGAATTGTCTATTTTCACCTGTAGAAAATCAGGCCAGCTTTTAATCCATGTTGGCAGCTAAATAATTGAAGCTTCACTTTTCACTATCAGTTTGGGACAGTAACTGATCCTTATTCAAAGAAGGGCATGTGTTTTTTATATAGGAATTTTCATAACTGACACAAACCATTTGTTTTGTTATGACATGTCACTCATTTCTCTATTTCAGCCTAACTATGACCCTATGAATGTTTCAATTATTCCCCAAGGTAATAGATTCAATCATGTTTTAATTTAAGAAACAATAATTAATTTTACTTTCTTACAAGATGAAGTTTCTTTTGTATTTTGTACTCTTTTTTTTAAACATTAAAGATTTTTGTTTCAACATATTAGATTGATTGTAATCATACCAGTTCTAAGATGTTAGTTTTTAGCTTGACTATTCAAAGAATAGGGAGAGCTGTTGTACTCACCCTGGCATAAGCATTGCCTCCACACTTTTTGCCAAGCTTTTGCGTGCCAGTTGGTGTCTACAAAACTGAAGGGAATGGGTTGCAACTTCGCACACTTGTTCTCTTTAATTATCTAACATGTTGAGCACCGGTCCCTTAACTCTTCCCTAAATTTTTACAGAGTTATGCCCCTTTTCTTACTGTCAAGAACTGAGAATAGTTGAGCAATCTGTCTTACAGATTCTTTAGGAAGAACTAATGATTTTTTATAGATGAAATTTTAATTTTTGGTTTTATTTAAGGGGTTGAAGTCTTTCCCAACAGTTTTTCAATCACAAGCTACATAAAGAACCATGCAAAGGATATTGTAACAGAGCAAGAGGGTCAACCAAACTGTTTATATGGCTGTGACACTGATCTGCTTATCAGACAACTGAGCAAGTCAGAATGTAAAATATTCACCATCGTTGGAGGGATCCGATCTGTGAAAAACCCTTTATTTCTGATCAAAACATTTTCAGGTATACAGAAAAATTGTTTGAAATATAGCTAAACATGTACATGTACTTTTAAAGGTTACACTCAAGCATAGGCAATGCTTGTAAAATTAAGGGAATTTAAATAGAGGATATTGAATGAGTGTAAGTTCAAAACTGGATTTATTGCATGAGTTGAACAAAATTATATTATGCGAACCTCTGGCGAGCATAATATTATTTTATTCAATGAGTGCAATAAATTCAGTTTTGAACTTACACAAATTTCATGTTCTATTTATCACATACCCAAAATAAAGACCATTTCAAGTGAAATAAGATCATTTTTCATTGATGCGCCTATAGTATAATGCTAACATTTAGCACGTCTTTACACTATGTTTGTATAACGCTAAAGACGTCACATCTTGGAGGTTTGAACTTGTTACCATCAGTTTACATATTGGAGTTTTGAACTTGCTACCGTCAGTTTACTTATTGGAGTTTTGAACTTATTACCACCAGTTTACATATTGGATATTTGAACTTTTACCATCAGTTTACATATTGGAGGTTTGAACTTGTTACCGTCAGTTTACATATTGGAGGTTTGAACTTGTTACCATCAGTTTACATATTGGAGATTTGAACTTGTTACCATCAGTTTACATATTGGAGATTTGAACTTGTTACCACCAGTTTACATATTGGAGTTTTGAACTTGTTACCATCAGTTTACATATTGGAGTTTTGAACTTGTTACCACCAGTTTACATATTGGAGGTTTGAACTTGTTACCATCAGTTTACATATTGGAGTTATGAACTTGTTACCATCAGTTTACATATTGGAGGTTTGAACTTGTTACCATCAGTTTACATATTGGAGGTTTGAACTTGTTACCACCAGTTTACATATTGGAGATTTGAACTTGTTACCACCAGTTTACATTTTGGAAAATTGAACTTGTTACCACCAGTTTACATATTGAAGGTTTGAACTTGTTACCACCAGTTTACATATTGGAGGTTTGAACTTGTTACCACCAGTTTACATATTGGAGATTTGAACTTATTACCACCAGTTTACATATTGGATATTTGAACTTTTACCATCAGTTTACATATTGGAGGTTTGAACTTGTTACCGTCAGTTTACATATTGGAGTTTTGAACTTGTTACCACCAGTTTACATTTTGGAAAATTGAACTTGTTACCACCAGTTTACATATTGAAGGTTTGAACTTGTTACCACCAGTTTACATATTGGAGGTTTGAACTTGTTACCACCAGTTTACATATTGGAGATTTGAACTTGTTACCACCAGTTTACATTTTGGAGAATTGAACTTGTTACCATCAGTTTACATATTGAAGGTTTGAACTTGTTACCACCAGTTTACATATTTGAGGTTTGAATTTGTTACAACCAGTTTACACATTTGAGGTTTGAACTTGTTACCATCAGTTTACATATTAGTGGATTGAACTTGTTACAACCAGTTTACATATTTGAGGTTTGAACTTGTTTATCAGTTTACATATTTGAACTTGTTAGCATTTGTTTATATATTGGAGATTTGACTTTGTTACCATCAGTTTATGTCTTGAAGACTTGAACTTGTTACCATCAGTTTACGTATTGAAGGTTTGAACTTGTTACCACCAGTTTACATATTGGAGATTTGAACTTGTTACCACCAGTTTACATATTGGAGGTTTGAACTTGTTACCACCAGTTTACATATTGGAGGTTTGAACTTGTTACCACCAGTTTACATATTGGAGATTTGAACTTGTTACCACCAGTTTACATTTTGGAAAATTGAACTTGTTACCATCAGTTTACGTATTGGAGCTTTGAACTTGTTAGCATTAGTTTACACATTGGAGCATTAGTTTATATCTTGAAGATTTGAACTTGTTACATTAGTTTACATATTGGAGATTTGAACTTGTTACCATCACTTAACATATTGGAGATTTGAACTTGTTAGCATCAGTTTACATATTGGAGATTTGAACTTGTTAGCATTAGTTTACATATTGGAGATTTGAACTTGTTACCATCAGTTTACAGAAGGGACTGTTGAGAGGGGGATTTTTACAAGGCAAAGTAACTTTATCTTCTGTTTACAGATTTGAGATTTAATCTTAAATTTTCTTAATGCAGTTCTTTTACATGTTGGAGATTTAAACTTGTTACCGTCTGTTTACAGATTGGAGAATGAAACAAGGTAAAGTCACATGCTGGCTACTGTTTGTTGGTGCTCATGTAAGTTTTATTCATTTATCTCTATCTTTGCCATCTTGTCATGGTCTGCACTGTTTGCTATTCAGTCAGAACATGTGTTGAAAATTTTCCTAAAAATGATGAATGGTTTTGTCCAGATTGAAAGATAGACAAGTCCATTTAAAAAGGGTTATAATGCTAATGAACCTTTAAAAAAAGATTGTGTAGGCTGTAGCTCTACCTAGTCATTTAACCATACTGGGTAAGTATAGGTGTATTAATGACATCAGATTAAAAAAATTTGCCTAGGTACAGTTTAACTATCATAGAATTATTCCCCTTTCATGATCATTTAAAAGGTGTCCTAATAAAGCAGGAAAATTGTATCTTTACCTTGGCAATTTTCATGAAACTATCAATTTAAACCCAGGGTGTTTCAAATACCTCGATTATATAATAAATAACCATAGTAAATCAGCTTAATTTTAGTATATATATTTGTAAATGTACTAGTATTTGTATTTCATAAATGGAATTGGCTTGAGGAATTAATGATACATGTAAAACATCATTATAAACCACACAATAGTGTTTATTAATTTATTGAATTACTTTCACAAGCTAGTACTAGTAATGTATTCTAAATATACTTAAAGAATTTCTGCTATCCATGTATCATTTATACAATACAACAAGCTGGTAGGCATAGCTGATAATTTTTAGAGAGTCCAGGAAAGAATATCTCACTCGCTTTGAAACTTCATGACATTGTATTTACAAGATTATAGTACTGATAAAAATCTTCTCTTTTTTTGTAGCAAAATGACACGTTTTTTGAAAAGTTCAAAGAGGAAGTTAGAAGGTATTTAATTTTAGTTTTAAAATTTCTTTATCTGTTGGCCTGGAGAATTCTTGTGAATGAACTTAATTATCCCATTTTGAATTTGGAACAGTCCATTCATTACCCTATAGTACAGTAACAGGTTAATTTCTATATAAAATGTTAACCCATTTATGCACTTAGGCATATTAAAATTTAATAGTGAACTCGTTACTGCTATATTAGGTAAGAAATTGTTTCAGTGATTTCAATATCAAATTTATTGGCAGCATATAGTATGGGGTTTCATCATATTGTTCAAAAATTTATCTGGTCTTGCTTACTTAAGCTATTTTCAAAGGTAAGTTATCGTCCATGATAACAAGGTTGAAGATATTGATATTTTTCCAAGATTTTTTTTTTAAATGACATTGAACATAATAGTGATAAAATACACTGAAATAGACTACATTGTATAATTTGTAGAAACAGTTTTAGCTTCACTACATGTATCTGAAAAATAATTTTGCTATCCATTTCACTTTGGTTTTGGTTATGGGACAAGTTCATGTAAGTCAGGGTCTATAGTTTTTTGCTTTGATTCTTATATATAAGGTTTGGTAGATAATTTCTAAAATGTGTACAAATAATATTTACCAGGTGCTGTTGATATTTATGTTTATTTTAGATTTTTTTTACAGTATACAGATTTAACAAATGATTGAATTTTGAATTTATTAGGTGCCCTGGAGTGGTTTATATTCCTGCTTTATCAACAGAAGACGCCCATGCTCTTATTCAGGACAGTTTTGCTCTTGTCAACTGCTCAGACAGTGAAGGAATGGCCCTAGCAATTTTAGAGGTAAATTTTGGATTTCTTTGATAGTTCAATACAATGTGAAAAAAGTCAAATCCTAAATAAAACTGCACATTATGCTGTGTGTAAAACACATAAAGGTCTGTACTTATGTCAGATTGTAGTTGAATGAGGTACACTCGTGATCTTTATGTTTAGCTCATTGTTCCATTATTATGGCTGCTTTGTCGAGATAGATCTCCATACTTTTAGTGAAATTTTAAAATACGTACTGCTGCAGATCATGATCAGATGCACGGATGTGCACTGGTCGCATGAGTATAATCTGTTGCAAAGAGTTAAGAAACATTGTGGTTCTGTACAGGTGCTTCTTTACAACAGATATATTGCTCTCAATACAACAGATATATTGCTCTCAATACAACAGATATATTGCTCTCAATACAACAGATATATTGCTCTCAATACAACAGATATATTGCTCTCAATACAACAGATATATTGCTCTCAATACAACAGATATATTGCTCTCAATACAACAGTTATATTGCTCTCAATACAACAGATATATTGCTCTCAATACAACAGATATATTGCTCTCAATACAACAGATTAAAAATATCTGTCATATGTTGCGGTTCGGACCGGAATATCCGTTCCGAGGGGACACGCCCATTGGGCGGTAACGAGGCTTGCCGAGTTACCGCCCATGGGCGGGTTCCCGAGAGAGGGATATTCAGGTCCGAACCGCAAACATATGTCAGATATTTTTTCTTGCATATTCTGCCATATTATTTCATATTTAAAATGGTTTACCTCAATATGATATATGTTCATGGAAATTAAAGTCATTTCATCCCTAACTATTTTCTTAAAATAGCGTATGAACTTACAACTTTTAATAACAACGGCGAAATGACGTCATCCAAAGCACATATTTCCCTTCTAAAACGATGTCATTTTACCGCGGTTCATTCATAAACTGCGCTAAAATGATGTTGTTGTTTGGCACGCGACTCATCTGGCACCCCCCATGCCAGATGAAATTTCCGGCATGGGTAAAACTCACGGAAACGCCAGTCTGCTATGCAAGAAATATTGCTCTCAATACAACAGATATATTGCTCTCAATACAACAGATATATTGCGCACAAAAACAATAGATTTCAGAGAGTTTATTTTTCAGTAGTTTATGAGATCCTTTGGCCACCTTGACAAATGAAATAAAGTAAATGAATGGACCACTGTTAACAATATTTTATTTAATTTGTGCTCATCAGCTTTTGCAGTTTTTATGTACATGTATTGCCCATCAAAGCAAAAATTCTTTTCTTTAACCCTTGTCATTCAAGTACTGTCAGGTTTATGCAGCATGATATATTATAGCAAGAGTATTATACATAGATGTTTGATGGTTCATGTAAAATTATGATGTGTATAAGAATAAGGGGTTTAAAATACAGCAAAGTAGGGCCGAAAGGTGATTAACGGCAGAATGAAAGAATGAATAATGACCATTGAAAAGTCACGTTACACTTGTAATCAGTTAAAATCATATGCAATTTTATTACTTTATGTAGTAACAAGTGAATTAAATGATGAATATATACAGAATTTCAATTGTTTATGACAACAATAACATTATTATTTCTAACTGAGTTATGCAATTGTATCATTGTTCAGTACTGGTTAGTTCCAGAAAATAGTGGAGGTTGATTCCAGGAATTAGTACTGGTTAGTTCCAGGAATGGATTGGAATGTCTGTGTTCCCTACGTGAACAGATTCTTTTAAAACTAATTGAGTTATGTTTATGCTTTAGTTGTAACATTAAATTTCAACAATTATTTCAGGCTATGGCTCTGAAAACACTTGTAATAGCACGAAATATACCAGGTAATACTGCGGTTGTTGACGATGGACAGAATGGTATTGTATTTGATACACCAGAGGTAATAACGTTTTTTTATTGTATCAATTAGTTATTGTACTTGAACTTTATTTTTATCTGCCCGAAATATTTTAGCGTATAATGTTATGCACCAGATCGTCCGTCTGTTAGCCGGTTTCTTGTTCGGTCTGTATTTTTTGAACTGGTGGAAGGAAATTGAAACTGCTTGGCAGAAGTATTAAAAAACATTTTTTTAGACAAGTGTTGATTGGGTTTCTACCCTAATTGAAAGAGTATTTTTGATTACTCAAACAAATTAACATTTTGGGCATATATTGCCCTGTCTTTGCAGTGCTCCTGTTTATAATGAGTGCAACATTTTGTACAACTTCATATTTCATCAACCATGAATTTAAAAGAGATTTTCGTGAAACTTTATTTGACATCAAAATTTGAGGTTATTATTTGAAGGCCAATAACTTTAGCCTTGAGTTATGGCCTTTTATGAAGTAAAAAAATTCCTGTTTTATATTGAGCAGGGTTACTGTTTATTTAGTTAATGTGTTGTAATAAATGAGGTATTTGTAACATTCATAATGTTGTTTTGTTTCAGAATTTCATAGAAAAAGTTGAGAATTTACTTGAAGCTCCTGAGATAATAAAGAGAATCACCGAGGAAGCATTCAACTACATATCAAACAAGCATTCTGTAGCCAATGAGGAAAACGCCTACTTTTCCTTACTGACAAAATATTGCTGATTACTAAATTTTTTTATAGATTTTACCTTAAAAACACTATGATGTCCCACTACAATGTTGCCATGCATTATCCTTTTTTCCTTGTTATTTTGTGTGGATAAGGACTAAACTGGTGTAGACTTTACTGATTTCATCACTGTTAAGCATACCCTGATAATACAAGAAACCTCGATAATATGAGAAACCTCTATAATACGAGAAACAGGGATACTTACTTTTATTTGATTTCATTTGACATCATTTATCTAGCTGTGTAGAATTATAAAATTAAATTCATATTTTATTTTAAAAATACCTCTGGTTGATAAGAACAAATGATATTGGTACTTAAAAAGGACATTTTGGTGGGTTTTGAAATCTGTGGATTTTTTCTTTATATAATAAAAAAGGTAGCAGTGTGTTGTACTGTAATGAGTAATAAGGTTTAAAGATCAATTACACTTACTCTAATATCCCCTTATTTAGAATAATGAAATTACCGTTTACTTGGAATTTAGAACTGACCTTTGGTAGTTTTAAACTTCACCATGTCAAAATATTAGAAATGAAAAAAACAACAGTAAAGAATCGGGTGAAACATAGACAGGCTTGACACTATTCTTGTGACCATCATTCCATCATGGCAGCTAATATTCTCAGAGTTATTTTATCACAAAAGTCATAACATCATGAAAGTTCATGAAAGTTCAACATATATTTTATAAAAAGTTTGCCAGGGGTCTTTTTTTAACTTACACACTATCCAAACAGGATAGTAACTGTGATATGAATGAACAATGCATAGATATCTTTTAAAAAAATGAAAACTTTATCTTAAATTGTTATATTTATGATTAAAGGAACTCTATTACTTCTCTTGAACTTGTTTTAGATATGAAATTCTACCTGCTTGGTACAATCTTTTTTGAGGGTTTTTGCTGTTGCTGTTGTTTTTGTTTTTGCTGTTTGACTCATCATAGGCAGATCTCCTCAGCCTTTTTTGAGGCAATACGACTGTGATATTCTATACATATAGAAATGTATTATGCTATGTTCTTAATTTGCTTACTCTTTTGATTCACTAGAATGCCCAAACTTACATATATTTAACCTGGAACACTGTATCATCAATTTAGTTAAAGCTGCACGCCTCCAGATGAGCTAAAATATTTCAAGAAATTCAATCTTTAGAAAAATGTATTAAGATCTTGAGAAAACTAAAAAGATTCAATGTTTAATTAATTATTTGTATGTTATGTGAGATTAATGACTGAGTTTGCAGTATCAATCACTATATAATTCTACTGCGTTACTAACTTTGTAATTTTGTATATTTTGACCTCTTTTTGGTCATTTATGTGGAATGTAAGTGCTGTTTGCAATGTGTAAATTACTTTCTTTGACTACTTTACATTATTATACAGTTAAATATATTTTCAAAATTTTCATGAAAATTGGCATAAATCCGGAAGCACGCTGCTTTAAAGTCTCAGCTATGTCTGAAATGGTTAATTTTTTTATGAGAAGCAGACAAAGTTTCCGTAAACATTGTATTTTTTGTTGAATTGAGTAGGTGAAATATTCGAAATATTTCGGTGAAAGAGACGCATTGATAATACAGAGGAGTAAATAGTATACATTTATGTTTTTAAGGATACAGTGCATAAGGTTCAATTTTTTCGTTGATCGAATCATGACATGGTGCATTGGGCCTGGAAAGAATAAAATATCCAGCTTCACAATTAATCTAGTACTAGTATCTTAGAAAATGACCAAAAATGACCAAAAAAGATTCATTTTAAATAATAGTATTACTTGTTTATAAGTGTTAAATTTTTTATCATTGTAACAATGTATGAATTTTGTTATATTTATCACACAACATCACTTGTTCTGATATCATAGATATCGTTGTGTATTTCTATTCATTAGACATAGATAGAGGATATTGAATGAGTGAAAGTTCAATACTGAATTTATTGCACGAGTTAAATAAAATTATATTATGCGAGCCTCTGGCGAGCATAATATTATTTTATTCAATGAGTGCAATAAATTCAGTAATGAACTTACACGAATTTAATATTCTATTTATCACATACCCAAAATAAAGACCGTTTAAAGTGAAATAAGAGTCATTTTTCATTGAAGCGCCTATAATATAACGCTACAGTTTGGCGCGTCTTTACACTATGTTTGAATAACGCTAATGACATCACGTCAAAATATATGCACAGCCGTGCAATACCATATTTACGGAGTCGCAAAATCGGCACGGGTGTGTGATAAAAAGTGTTATGAGGTAATCAGCTTTATTTTATTTCACTAGGTACCATGACAATGTGCAGGGTTTTTGTTTTACTATGTTTTCTTTGATGTATCATGTGATGTGATATAAAAAATCTTACATTAGTTTTCATACAGAATGTCATGTTCATTTTCCATTGACACAGAAATCATAGGATCATTTTATAACTTTTCCAAGACTTATTTGAAGTAAGTTTATATTATGACTTGAAAATAAATAAATTAATAAATAAATAAATAAAAAACTTTATGAAATAACTTGGAAATAAGTTTTTTTTAAACAGACTTTGAAGGGGATAAAGCTATAATCTAATGAAATGTTTTGATAAAATTTAAACATTAAAATTATGTTGTTACTATAATCTTATCGTCGATAATCAAAAGAGTTGTTACAAATACTGTATGTAAATGTGATAAAATGTTCTTGAACAAAATGTTATGCTGCTATTTTAAGTAAGATTTTAATCGTTTAGCAATGAGTTTGTGCATGCTTGATTTGCTTATAAAGAGTTAGACATACTGCTTTCTTACAGGTATTTTGGAATTATTTTCTTTTTCAAAAAGAAACAAAAAATTGGTAAACTGAAGGCATCCGAGATATAGCATTATATGCTTAGAATTTAGTTAATATTAAATAAAAACTTGTGTTATATTTAATACATGAACATGCTCAGTGATATTGACTTTATCTTTGCTGCTTTTTTCAATCACTGATCATTTTATACATGCAATAATGGTTTTTGAAAAAAACATCTTCCAATATGTAAATATTTACAATGTGTTATTTTACCTCTTCTTTTTAAAACTGTACTCCTCCTGAATCTGTGATATAGGAAATCTTACATTTTGTTGTAATTGTCATATGAACTTTGAAATTATTTCAGAAATGATATAATGCATGTCAAAGGATTTCTCTATATTATATAACTTACATAGACTTGTTTAACCTGTTGCAATTTGTGTAATGGACTTACAATTCAACTTGAACCAGTCATTGCAAAGTTTGAGGGATTTCAATAATAAAATACAAATATTGAGCTACCAGCAATATACAGACTTTGTCATACTGATTTACAGGTTTACCTTCTCTATACTGACTGCATAGGCTTATTACTTCCGGTTTAAACAGGGTAAGGGTTGACATAAGTATAATACCACATATATACTTGTCTTAAGGAGATACTAGTTATTTTGTCCTTTATTTTAGTTGTATCTTACACCCCAGTTACACAGAGCCATCGGTGATTGATCGGTAGATTTTTTAGCCAAATTATGGAGTGAACCGATGACAGCGTATTTAACACCGATATCACCTATTGGTCACCTGTTATCCACTTATCAACTGCTATTGGGGAAAGATAAGTTTCATCGGTGAAAAATTACCGATTGGGATTTTTAAACACGTTTAAAATTCTCGATCGGTGAAAATATTTTAAAAACAACCGACGACAACCTCTATCACGAAATATGCAAGCTCTTGATCACCGATATCGCCGATCGGACAAAGATAACCAAATAAGAATCACCGGCCATATCTGACGGAAAGTGTTTAACCACCGATGACTAGCTAACAACCACCGATTAATCAGCGTTACGCCCGATTTAGCTCCGATTTACAAACGATAAAAACAAAAAGTGTTTCAGCATGTAATCATCGACCCATTCCCGTTTGAGTTTGCTTTCTGTCACCGATGGCCGTTTACACAGAAAACCAGAAATAAAATCACGCATGACAACCGATCATAACAGGGAGTAATTTTAAAATTAAATGACCGATTGGGGACCGACCGTCTGTGTAACTGGGCCCTTATATTATTGTTGTTACTTATTTTTATTGTTGTTACATCATATGATTAATATCAATTGTCAATGTCATCAGATTTGAATGTTTGGCATACATTTTCATGTAAATCTGATAGCATATCTCTTTAAGTGCTATATTTAAAATTTATTTATTGTTTATAATTATATTTTTTAAACATTATAGTCTGTTATACTCAAAAATGTCTCCACAATTTGGGCTTATCAGAATCTAGACTATATATTTCATATTGATAAACACTTTTTTTGTGTTTAGACTATATGTTTTATATTGATAACCACATATTTAATGTTTAGACTATATATTTCATATTGAAATTGTACCACAAACTGTCTCCACTGATCAGGGAATTGGTATATTATTATAAATGTTATTTGTTATTTGATGTGTCTTTGAAGTTTACATCATGTGTATATACTGTATAACTGCACACATACCTGTACAAATCGTCATATTATGAATCATTTTTGGTAATGTGTAACTTGGTGACAATCATGTTGGGAGATTTGGTTCATCTTTGGTTTAACTATCGCTAGTGTCTGTCTTAAATCACTTTTGGACTATCAATAGTTGTACTGATTTTGTCTCTTTGTCAAAACTTATTAACAAAACAATGTAATGTGCAGAGGGTTCAAATTTATAAGGCTAGGATAGACATATTCTTACCAATATTTTGCACATCTTATTTAAAAAAGTGTTTTAACAGCGAGCCATTAATTTTTTCTCATCTTGTTTTATACAGTATTAGTAGATAGTCGGTCATATTTTTCACAGTTGAATTTTATATAGTGAATTTAACAGGTGGTCCTTTTTTGTCTATTTGAATATTATATAGTGAATTTAACAGCTAGTCTTATTTTTGCCTACTGGTATTTGAATATGATAATTATAGTGAATTTAACAGCTTGTCATATTTTTGCCTATTTGAATAAGTACATGTACATGTGTTATATAGTGAATTTAACAGCTGGTCTTCTGTTTGCCTATTTGAATATTGTCTAGTGAATTGAACAGCTGGGTGTTTTTTTTGTTGTTTTTTTCCTATTTGAATAATATGTAGTGAATTTAACAGCGCAGGTCTTATTTTTCCCTATTTGAATATAACATAGTGAATTCTACAGTTTGTCTTACTTTGCTCATTTGAATTTAACATACTTAATTTAATAGGTCATATTTTGTACAATTGAATATTATAAAGCAAATTTAAACGGTTGACCTCTTTTGTACTTTTGAATTTTTAAACAAACATTGTACATGTGTAGTAAATTGAACAGGTTTTTTTTCTTTGCAGATCATATTTGATTTCTTCATAGTAAATTCAACATTGGGCTTTTCTGAATGTAATGACAAATTTAACAGCTGTTGAAATTTTTCACTATCTGAATTTAACAGAAGGTCATAATTAAGCTCATCAGCCTTTTAAATAGTAAATTTAATAGCTAGTTTTGTTTTGTTTTTGGCCCTCTGAACTTTAAGATGTAGATTTAATAGCAGTTTTAAATGCTCATATGAAATTTATTTTGTGAAATCTGAGAATATGTCTTCTCAGGTGAACTATAACAGCAAATATTAGGCTTCAGACGTCAGAGGTTTAATATGGGATGTATGTAATAACTATTACTATTATTTTTTTATTGTTGAATTGTGATAGATACATTGTATTGGTTTTCATAGTGGACTATGAATAAATGTTATTCTTCTTAAGAGTCTTCATGTTTGTTGTTTTTTTTTCAATCAGTGTTTCAATTGCTGTGCTCCGTAAATAGATTGCAAGCAATCCTAATAGAGCTTAAACTCATAATTCCTTGATTAACAGACAAACCCCTTAAATACAAGGTCACTCTTTGCCCTAAATTATGTTTAAAAAGTTTAATAACATTTCTTTTCAGAAAGCTTAGAGCTTTAGTTATCTCCCTTGTATAACCAGAACTTGAGAAAAACTGGTGGTCCCAGTAGAGCTTGAAATGTTAATTCTTTGATTTAAAGAAAAGAAAGACTGCCTTATTACTTAGGTCAAGTTTGTATAATACAGAACAAACCGTTTTGCTCAAATGTGGAACAGCTTGGTGCCCTGTTTTACTCATTCTAATGATCAACCAAGACTGGTTTCATAGGGAGAAGCTTTGTACTAGTACTACCCTTAACCAACTCCATGAACTTTTTGTGTTGCTGTACATGTACATTTTGTATCACTGTACATGTGCATTTTATATCGCTGTATATGTACATTGTGTGTCGCTCTTCATGTACATTTTGTGTCATTGCACATCGCTGTACATGTACATTTTGTATTGCTGTACATGTACTTTTTGTGTTGCTGCATATGAACATTTAAACTGGTACTTTTGCTCTATCCAACTCCATGTACATTTTGTATTGTTGTACATGTACATTTTGTGTCGCTGTACATGTACATTTTGTGTCACTGTACATGTACATTTTGTGTCGCTGTACATGTACATTTTTTGTCGCTGTTCATGTACATTTTGTATCGTTGTACATGTACATATAGTGTCGTTGTACATGTACATTTTGTGCTGCTGTATATTTACATTTTGTCTCGCTGTACATGTACTTTTTGTCTCGCTGTACATGCTGTACATGTACATTTTGTGTCACTGTACATGTACATTTTGTATCGCTGTATATGAACATTGTGTGCCCCTCTTCATGTACATTTTGTGTCATTGCACATCGCTGTACATGTACATTTTGTATCGCTGTACATGTACTTTTTGTGTTGCTGCATATGAACATTTATACTGGTACTTGTGCTCTATCCAACTCCACGTACATTTTGTATCGCTGTGCATGTACATATTGTGTCGCTGAACATGTACATTTTGTACCGCTGTACATTTACATTTTGTGTCGCTGAACATGTACATTTTGTACCGCTGTACATTTACATATTGTGTCGCTGAACATGTACATTTTGTTAAGCTGTACATTTAACATATTGTGTCGCTGAACATGTACATTTTGTACCGCTGTACATTTACATTTTGTGTCGCTGAACATGTACATTTTGTACCGCTGTACATTTACATTTTGTGTCGCTGAACATGTACATTTTGTACCGCTGTACATTTACATATTGTGTCGCTGAACATGTACATTTTTTTGTCGCTGTTCATGTACATTTTGTGTCGTTGTGCATGTACATCTTGTGTCGTTGTACATGTGCATTTTGTGCCGCTGTACATTTACATTTTGTCTCGCTGTACATGTACTTTTTGTCTCGCTGTACATGTACATTTTGTGTCACTGTACATGTACATTTTGTATCGCTGTACATGTATATTTTGTATCACTGTACATGTACATTTTGAGAAAGAGTTATCCCTCGGAAGAATTAATCACAACAAAATTACATGAAAATTGCACACTCGGTTTGTGTCTGTACATATTGGAAATGAACAAGAGCTGTCGGAGGACAGTAACGCTCGACTATTCGAAAAGTTGTCAAAAGGGTGTTTCATTGAGTATAATAATGCTTACCTATTTGAAAACATAAACTTGTCCGAAAAGGTACAAATGCTTGTTATTAAGATGTTTTATCGAGTAAATCACTGCTTTATTATTATGAATGCATAAAATTGTCCCAAAAAAGGCACAAACCCTTAGACACCAGCTTACAAGCAAAACCTTTACCAAGAACTTCTAAGTCCAAAAAGGGGCATAATCATGAAAAAATAAATAAAATCAAGAGTTATGGGACTAATGTGCCAATCATGTAAGATAATCACAGAGAACAAGTGTGTGAAGTTTCAATCCATTCCCTTTAGTAGTTATGGAGATACCAGCTTACACGCAAAAACTTAACCAAGGATTTCTAAGTCGAAAAAGGAGCATAATTATGAAAAAAAGCAAATCAGAGTTATGGGACTTGTGCCAATCATGTGAGATATTCACAGAGAACAAGTGTGTGAAGTTTCAATCCATTCCCTTCAGTGGTTATGGAGATACCAGCTTACATGCAAAAACTTAACCAAGAATTTTTAAGTCGAAAAAGGGTCATAATAATGCAAAAAAAGCAAATCAGAGTTATGGGACTTGTGCCAATCATCTTAGATAATCACATAAACCAAGTGTGTGAAGTTTCAATCCATTCCCTTCAGTATTTATGGAGATACCAGCTTACACGCAAAAACTTAACCAAGGATTTCTAAGTCAAAAAAGAGGCATAATTATGCAAAAAAGCATATCAGAGTTATGGGACTTGTGCCAATCATGTGAGATAATCACAGAGAACAAGTGTGTGAAGTTTCAATCCATTCCCTTCAGTAGTTATGGAGATACCGGCTTACACGCAAAAACTTAACCAAGAATTTCTAAGTCGAAAAAGGGGCATTTTTGTGCAAAAAAGCAAATCAGAGCTATGGGACTTGTGCCAATCATCTTAGATAATCACAGAGAACAAGTGTGTGAAGTTTCAATCCATTCCCTTCAGTAGTTATGGAGATACCAGCTTACACGCAAAAACTTTACCACAGGGACGCCGATGCCGACAAATGCATGAAATGGGTGACTGCATTAGCTCGATTATTCTGCGAAAAGTTGAGCTAAAAAGTGCAACATCACCGACACCCCTTAGCATCGGCACAGACGGTTCTCAATTTTCATCACTTAAAAGTGCTGGAATCAATGACCACCGAAGGACAAGAAAAATATTTAAAAAAAAACAACACTGAAGTTAAAGTGATGCTTTTGATTATTATGGATTTACTATAGTCAATCGACTTCAGCCACCGGCTATCGTTACTTTTAACAATATTGTTTCATACCCTGTACTACAACTTTATGTGTTTTCTTACTCGTTTTGAATACTTATTACAATATTTCTGACAGATGCTAGCGCATTTTTTTCCTACCGGGCTCTACACATTAGTTTTGATTAGAGTTGTCCTGGACAATTGAGTAGCAAAATAGAGTCATTATGTGTAGTATAAATATCCAAAGAACCTAGGACTAATCATAGATCAGGGTCTAGAGTCTTGAAAAATTTGAAATATATTCAGACTCTGTGTTCCCTACGTGACATTTCGATCTTTCGTGCAGGCAAACATCCGTCATTTACAAAATTAAAAATCAACATAGAATTTATACGAACAATTTATTACAGCATCGCCAGTGATGAACACTATTTCACATGAAAATAAATCATCAGTTCACATATAATAGATTAGCATGAATATCTTATATAGTAAGTTGTTTCGATTGCATGGAGTACCGTGTTTAAGATGAACACTATCGAGCAGTTATTTCCCCGGATTATTTTATGTATTAAATGTATTTTAAAACAGTAAACTATGTTTTGATTGTACATCCATCCTGTTTCCATGGCAACACGTGCTACAATTGTTCGTAAAATACTTATCACAGTAACAGCTTGATGACAGTTCCTCAAAATTAAATTAAACGAGACTGAGGGCCTAAAAAGTTTGGACAGTCCTTCACATGAAATAACAGTTTGTTTGTATGCTTGTTTTTTTACAAGTTTTGGAAAAATTCTGAAGTCAGTTCTAAATTATTTGCATGCTTATCATTAATCACATCAGCAAACTCTGGTTTTCCCATCTCTTTCAGTGCGCGTTCGAGATCTTTAACTTTGTCTTTGTCCTTTGACCCCGCCCTCAGGGTCTTCCACTGAAGGAGGAGCCTCTGTGTTGCCTCAATAACCAGCACGTCACTGACTCCTAACAAGCCGCATTCAGACGCTTCGTTCGTTGCATTCACTATCGTAGTGTTCGGTATGTTAAGATACATACATAGTACGAGACCACTGACCCCTGCACCTCCGATTTCACGTGCAAGAATTGCCAGGCTTCCGTCCGTTAGTACCATCGACTCCTTTCCCTTTCCAGCGGTTGATCCTGGAAATATAAAAAATATATAATATGTTGTAATTTAAATTTACTATTGAGTAACAAAATAATACCTAAAAACTCTTAACTTAAATAATGTCCGTATTGGGTAGTTCATTACCTCTGGAAGAAGCACGGCTTGAATTCCGGGATACCGGTCGACGGTTTTTATCCGATTTCTTCTGGGGTGGCATTTTTATAACCAAATTTAAATCAAACTAAATTAAATCAAAGTCACAAACTTTCCTTAATTCCTGTTTGGAAATATATTGAAAATGAATTGAATTATTTTCTCAATATACTAAATAAACTCATATATGACAGGAACGATTTGATATTCCAAAAAGAAAACTCTCTTAAGTTGAATTTCTACTGAATTTCTATATCTCGTTCCCTGACAAACTTATATATCAAAGCACACAAAACTAAACAATAGAGTTAAGTAAACGAACTTTACATAAATTGAAATTTGAGAACCTCTCGACATTTAAAAATTGCACTTTTTCAATAAGCGCTTTGTTTACATTCAAATGAAAGTAGAAGACAACGTTCTGTTTGAAAGATCTTCGTGGACAGGGTGGTAAATGACTAATAGTAGTAGTATATATGAATGTATTAAGGTAAATTATTCATTCAAAGTTAAAGAGCCTTTCCATTCGGAAAAAAACATGTTTAAAATTGATGTTATTTTTAAGTGAATAAAGACAATAACATAAGTTTATTAATTGTTAATTATATTATATCTTAAAAATATTCAATAATAACAACTAGCAGATAGTTAAACCAAAATACTTTTATAAATTATATGCCATTTATAAAACGTTTTCAAAATTACAGAATGTGGTTGTGATTTTAATGCCTTCGCAATTTATCGTTAAAATATCAGTACAGCTTCAAAAGTTAATATATATTCCGTGGAATGGAAACTACGTTTTTTTGTAAATCACTAAGAATTTATGAGTTAGTACCTCGCTCAACTTAAGTGACTTTAATATGACGAAGAATTTTAAAAAATACAGCAATCTCACTGAACAAAATTCAATGTTATACATATACATGTGTCACTAAAGTTTAAACAAAATACATTTTTTAATAAAACGTTATTATAGATAAAATGAGATAAGGGCATGGTTTTAAATTTTGTCGTTTTAAAATCTGTATATCTTACTATACGTCACGTCATTTACGCTGTTCTTACTATTACATACGTTAAAGTTTTATGACAGGGGCAACAAGTCGAGAATGGGCTTGTATATTAATCTATGATAATCTTAAACCCGGAACAAATTGTGTAAATAAACTACCGTTTATACACGGCTTGATAAGGGATTAAATACTTTAATATTAAATTACTTCACGTCAAGTTTAATCATGCTTTGTGTTCTGTTGTCGTCGTTGTTGTTTTCTTCTGGTTGTTGGAATGTAGAGTAAGTTGATTGGTTGATTTTAGTCAGATTTAAAACACACAATGCTACAACTGATGAATCACATATGATTAAAATGAACAGTGTTTACTTATAATTGTTATGCACAGTTGTTGTTGTTGTTTTTGTTGTTTCTGCTACTGCTGCAGCTACTGCTGCTGTTATTGTTGCTGTTGTTATTGTTGTTAATGATGGTGATGATGATGATGATGATGATGATGATGATGATGCACTGTGGCGGAAATATAGAAATGGGAAAGCAACATGACTTGACAGTACAAACATTGACTGTGTTATGATTGCCGTCGTGCTTATAACGATGACACGTGGAAAAATGTACGTGCAAAAACTATCGAATGTGTTGTTGTTGTTGTTGTTGCTGTTGTTATTATTATTATTGTTGTTGTTTCTTTTTTTTTTTAATTCAATTGATTTACAATTTAAGACCAGTGTACAATTTCCGTCTTATTTTTCATAACGTTATTTTTATTTCTTGTGTTAATGTTTGATTTGTTTGAATATGAAAGTTTTGTATCTGTTCAATTATATTTTAATTATATCTGCTACTGTTTAATCAATAATCCCTTTTTATGTACATATTAAAATACTTTATTGGTAATTCAGTGATAAAGCAAGAACGATGCTATAGCACAGATAAACACTTATTCTTTATTATAACTTTTATTGTATCCAATATGTTATTGCTTTTGTTTTGTATGTTTTCTTTGGAAACCTGGCCGAAAGAACGAAAAACAACAATATCCAAAAGACCTTTTTACAACACGATTTTTCCATAGCAACCGATGTTGCATTTTGCTTAATGTGACATTGTCTTTAAAGTTTGTTTATAAGTCATTAAACATTAGAATTGACAATGATTCTTTTTTATGTATATAAATGAGGTGCTGATCGTTTTTCAAAGCCTTTTATATAGACATGCTATTAAAAGTACATGTATACCCGTTACAGTACGTACTTAATTTTAATTCTAGTTTCAATAATGATTTTACAAGCCCCTTCAAAGAACTGTATATATGAAGAGTAGCAGAAAAGTACATTCGTTTGTTACCAACTATGCAATGGCGGAAAGGAAATTCATAATTATTCATGAATAGATTTTTTGATAAATCAATATAACAGTTATGAAAATTGGTTTACTCAATAGACCCTTTCAACAGAATATATTATGATTAAAATCAAACTAATCAGACAAACTCAAAAAATCAATATTGTTATCGATCAAACTTACTCAAATTTAAACCCTGTTTAACAGTTTTTAATAACATATTCAATACTACGCTAGTGAAAAAATTTAAGCTTTTTTCATTCAATTATGACAAAAAAAGTAATTAAAAAGTTAATTGTCTTTGAGAAGGAAAGGAAACATTTATAGATTACGTTACATACCTTCCTCGGTTGGCATTTTTTAAAAACAATATTCCGGTGTGTGCACTAGAAAAATTCAAATTCCTATAGCCTAACGTCTCAAGTTTTGTTTACATGCGATCTTGTGTTTACTACGGTTGTTAGACCTATTGAAAATTGAATTTCAATAGGGTTATATTGAAACGACTGGTTTCCGTCACCAATTTATATAATCCGTTTAGATTTGTCGCCCTTTTTATTGAAATTTTAACAATACAAACTAAAAGTTCTTGAAATCAATTATATTTTAATCTTATTTTTATTGATAATGACTGGGATACGGGTTTATCCTTTTTCTTCTGATGTAATTGAAGTTATTGAGAATTATATTGTTGTGTATTATGATGTATATGTATTACGAATGAAAAACACTTAGGTAAACGAGAATTGATAAAAGTTTTAATTTTATAAATTAATTCATAACACCCCACATAAGATTTTTGAAAAAAAAGTTACTATTTATGCGATATCTAAATCAACTTATTCAGTTTGTAGTATACAACTTTTTGACTCGGTGAAAATGAATTACTTTTGCTACACAATTTAACTTCTATAGTTTACCTGTGATGAGTTGTAAATATTAAACTATAATTTGAACTTGAACTATTACGATGCAAGTTTGTAAACGTGTGTTACATAAAATGAACATAGTAAGAATTATTGGACGTGGATATTACTTTAAGGATTTCAGAAAATACTCCTTAGTACGCAGGCATAAATGGGATATCGGATATGCTTTATGTATCACGTGCGCACGTGTAAAACAATACGTGCACACTTATTAGCTTTTAAATCTGCACGTATTAACTATCACGTGCGTACGTGTCTTCAAATCATTTGATGGTTATCTCGTGTGCTCGTATTAGCTCTTTCCAACGTCCCCTTTATGCAACAGCAAGCTTGTACCTGGAAGCAAACTTTTGTTGCTTTCTCGTTCTAGAAACAAATACTTTATCACCGTGCTGTTGCTATCTGTTCCTCAATTCATCATTATTACACATACACGTGCATATAGTCCATGGTGTACAGTATTTCTTTAACTATAACTAGAACGCTGCGAGTCGGATATGCCGCCTTGTGAACAGTATAGCTGTCATTTAAGAATTTTCTTCTTAAATGTAGGTTATTTATAAACATTGCTAAAGGGCAATAACTAAAAAAATAAGAAGCGCAGAGTACCAGTTCTTGTGAAATGCACTTCTTCTTAATGAGATCTATCATCCTATAGTTGAAGAGAAATGGCTGGGATAAACATTACCAAAGGGCAATAACTCAAAAACCATGGAGTACCGGTTTTTGTGCACCGCACTTCATCTCGATGAGACCTATCATCCTATGAAGTTTCATATAGTTTTATAGTTTAGGAGAAATGGCCCGGACAAAAAAGTATGAAAATTTAAAAGGGTAATAAATCAAAAATTAAGAAGTGCAGAGTACCGGCCCTTGTGCACTGCACTTCGGGGGATATTGAAAGAAGCATGCATACCAAGTTTGAAGTCAATCCGACTTATAGTGACTGAGTTATGCTCCGGACAGGCTTTAGGGGACGCCGACGAAAGTAACCCCTATATATCACCTTTTCAAGGTGACACAAAAATTTCATTCTGAGAAGTAGTCCTTAGCGCATGAATTACACTGGAATTATTTTATTTATCACCATGCGACACAAATTTCCGTAATAAGGCAAACGCAATTTCACAGATAGGAACAAAGTATCAGATTGTTCCATAAACACAAGGTACATCATCTTTTAAAGAGTACTCGCAGAAGATGGATTTGTTCGGACAAAGTCTGTTTTAGAACGTTTTTTCTTAAATTGAAGAACCGAATAGAAAGAACCGAATAGAAATAGGATTTCGATTTATCTTTTTAAAATTACAAACTGAAATCAGGGGATTTCATCGGCCACTCTTTACATTAGTATAATAATATAAAGGATCTTTCTGAAACGTATACACGTCCAAATTATTAAATAATCTAAAGGAGTTTCGGAAACAAATATTCTGGATAAAAGTTCTCTGATATTTAGGATTTGTAAACCGTTCTTCCTTCCATTATTTTTTTCGCTGCTTTTAAAATGTCGTTTTAATAATCTAGTGAATAGCTTATTCAGCTTAATAACTAATTGAATAATGAATGATATTTATAAAGTTTTGTCAAACATAACGAATTTGCAAATAACGCACACGATCTCCCGCGCATACTAAAAACAAATGAAAACACCACGAACTTTTCTGCTACTTTAAGTAGATTAATTATGCACAGTGTTCATCATATTATATGATTATTGATGTTCCAATTGATATAGATTTTCAAATTGTCTTATATTTTTGAATATTTATAAAGCATAAATATGAGCCGCGTCACGACAAAACCAACATAATGCGTTTGCGACCAGCATGGATCCAGATCAGTCTGCGCATCCGCGCAGTCTGATCAGGATCCTTGCTGTTCGCTTACCATCTCTATTATAAGTAGAGATACTGATAGCGGGTAGCATGGATTCTGATCAGACTGCGCGGATGCGCAGGCTGGTATGGATCCATGCTGG